AGCAACTTCAAACAGAGGTGCAGTAGAGAAACGCCTGAAAGGATGTGAGGGCCTGTGATTATTCAAGGGTTGAGAGTTCCAGGCAGAGGAAACAGCAAGTGTAAAGGCCCTGAAGCTGGATAGTGTCTGGCATATCTAGAAATAGCCAAGAGGCCAGTGTGGACGGATGAGAATGAGCCAGAGGGGGAATGGGAGAAATGTGAGGGCAGGAAGGTGACTGGGCACATCCTACAGGACTGCGTGGGCCTCCTGTTGAGTGAAGACTTTGACATTTTCCCCTAAGTAAGGTGAAAGCCCTGGGGAGCTCTGAGCAGAGGGACATGATCTGATTTGGGTTCTAACATGCTCCCACAAGTTCAGATGTTACCAGCATTTATTAATAAGCACTCATTGGGTGCAGGCACTGTTTTCTGAGAATTCAATATGGTCTGATCTCATTTCATTCTCACATGGACCCCGTAGAAATGATCATTTCACTTCACGGAGACAGCGAGGCTCCGAGTGTTGAAGTCACTGAGCACGGCCACACACCCAGCAGTAATTTGCAGCCATCGGTTCAGAAGGTGAAGCGAGCCAGCCTTTCCCTCCCCCCAAGCTTTTAGACAAGGATCGCTTGCAGCAGAGCTCACTCAGCATCCGGAGCTGCGTCTGTGTCCCTGTCTGTTTCTATTTCCACGCGTCCCTGTCTGTCTCCGAGCGCCTCTGCCCGCGCGTCCCCCATCTGTGCTCAAGCCGACGTCTCTCTGCGCCCGGCCCCCGCACATCGCAGCTATTTCGGGTTTAGGTTTAAAGGCCCAACAGCTCGGAAGAGACGCTTCCGCCCGCCTCCCTCCCCTCCTCCCCCACTCCCGCCCCCCTGCGGCCGACTCTGGGAACTCCGGATCTTCGCTGAGGGATCCATAAATCGATCCCCTGGCCGGGGTTAGACCCCGCGGGAGGAAGGGGGCGGGGTGCGTGTGCTTAGGCTGCACCCGCATTGACGCAGTCGGGAACCTAGAAGTGCGTCAGCTGTCGCTCTGGAAACGGGCAGAACGTCACAGACGGGCAGTGCGTCAGCAGCCTCCTGACGTCACGCCCCGAGAGGCAATTGACGTAGGGCGGGGCGGATTCCCGGGCCCGCCGGCAGAGGGAGCCCCAGGTTGCTGCTAATGGTTCGGATGCCTTTGTCTTGGTCCGGCAGGAGGCGCTGGCTAGGGCCGACATGGTCCCCGCAGCGGAGCACTAGGCTGGCGGGATGAAGAGGAGTCGCAGTGTCCTATCCGTGGATGAGGTGTGAGGGGCGGGGCGGGGCTGGGGGAGGGGTTTGGCCCGCGTGAGGGGGGGAACGGGCGCCCTCTAGTGACCACAGCTGTTCACTAAGTGGTCGCGAGGAGACGGTGGAGGCTCCTCGTGCCTCAGTTTCTTCCTTGATTCCATTACTCTCCTGCCGCCAGGATTGAGTCCCTCCGCCCAAGGGCAGAAGGCAGGGACTTCCCAGGGGCTCCTGAAATCAAGTCAGGGAATGATTATGGGTGGAGTTGTGGGTGAGGTCTTTCTTGTGGGTCTCAGATGTGAGAAGGGCCACAGACATTAAGACCAAGAGGGGGCTGCTTAGACGAGGAGGGTGGGAAGAGATCCTAAAAAGGCGATGTGTGCGAGGGAGCTCATGGGAGGGACAGTGTATAGCCATGAGGGCCCAGAGCCACAGAGCGGAAACATTCAGAGGGACTTCCACAAAAACTGTGGCTGAGAAGGGGAACCCCTCAGAAGTCAGGAGTGGGAAAGCATCTTCTGTGGGAGGGATCAGCAAGTGGCTGCGACTGAGTGGAGGACACAAGGAGCCTACATTCCCCTAACTCTCTCCCATATGGCTAGGGAGGGGCAATATTTTGGGAAGGGGCTCACAGCTAGCTGCCTGGCCAGGCTATGTACCCATCCCCCTTTTGTCCCTCCTTAGAGGCCGGCGGAGACCCCTGATCCCAGCCATAGGAACATGCTGGGGGCCGACCTCCTACGACGCCCTCGCCGCCGCCTCTCCAGTGGTCCTGGCCTGGGCTGGGAGGACCCTGAGCTCTGGGACCCTGGGGTCCCTGTGTTCCCACGGCCCACCACGCTGCCACTTCTCATCCCTCCGCGGATTTCCATCACCAGAGCGGACAGGTAGGTAGGAGGGGGAGCAGGCTGAAAGGTAGGGTGGAGGAACAGGGCGAGCTGGGCTAGGTCCAGCCACCAGCCCTCTCTGTGCTCCAGATTCCCCGCCTTTTGCAAAATCAGCTGCACCATCTCCTGGAGTCTAGTGGGTCAGGCTGTGACTCCCCACCCCCAGGGTGCCTCATTACAGCCTCCAGAAAAACCCTTCTTCCATTGTGCAGCTGCCTGAGTCAGCAAGGGTTTCGGAAAAGGGCTTTCAGCCCCTCAGTTCCCAAGGGCGCCCCCGCATTCAGAGAGCGGGGCAGGCCCCGGAGCAAGCCTCTGAGCAGTCTGCTGTGCACCTCCATTTACCCTTCTAGGAAGCTTCTGTCTCTTCCAGGTCCTCAAAGGGAAGGTGGGACCCTGCAGGAGGTCTGGGTTGGCATTTTTCTTTCACTTGGGGAGATGTGAGAGATATCTTGGAACTCCCTCGCTGTTTCTCATCGGGGGTGTCCCCCCTTACCCCCCGTACTCCAACCCCCATTTTCGCCCAAGGATGAGTTCAAAAGCCAAACATCTGAGCTGGTCCAGGCTGCTTTCCGGGGCCCTGTCCCCACTGCCCTCCCCAGGCCACAGTGTTCTGCAGCCTGGATCGCCCCCCCCCCACCCCCTTTCATCTGCTCAATTGGAAGGTTTTAGAGACTCTGCTTGGAGGATAGTTCATTGACAAGTGGGAGGAAGAAGTGACTGTCATTCCCATCTCTGTTGGTCTGTTGCACAGCCACCCCCCCCCCCCTCAATCCCTCTCACCTCTTCACCTTAGGAGGCTGGTCCACCTCAGCCTCAGGCTGTAACTCCAGTTACAGCCTGGCTTATGGGCCTGTGCACCCCTCTCCGCCCCACTATGTCCTGACCCGTCCCCCACTCCCCACCCCACCCCACCTCCATTTTACATTGCCTCCAGAGCTCTGGCCCCACTCCCCAAGACCTTGGCTCAGCCCAGGAGCCTCAATGGATCTGGAAAGGGCCTGCAGCCCTTGCAAGCCCCCCAGAGGCCGTCTGAGTGCATACTTGCGGGAGGTCCCTGAGGAAAGCGGGAGACACACTTCTGACCTTGGTGACACCCCACTGCTGCTGAGGGGGAGCCAGTTCTGGCTCCACCTTCGCCCACGCCTGGAGCCCCCTCTGGTGGGGAGAAAAACGGCTGTGGAGGTTGGAGACGGGCTTTTTTTTTTTTTTTTTTTTTAATATAAGAGCAGTGCGGGGGTCGGGGCGGTGAAACACCGCACAGCCAGCCTGGAGGAGCCCGTGACGGGGGATCACAGGGGTCTGGGGCCTGCTTTCGCGCACTCGCACCTATGTCGGTTAATGTGCGAGCGCCTCCGCCAGGTGCCAGGCGGGCGCCCCCCACCCCCCAGGGCTGCCACCGGGGCTCAGCAGGCTGCCAGGGCGGGGTGAGGGAGGGCGCCTGGATCCCGCTAGCTCTCTGCTCCAGCTTGCTCGCTCCGCGCGGCGCGCCGGGGGAGGCGGGAGCGTGAGTCACGGAGGCTCCGGATTTAGGTGCCGGAAGGGGGGCCCTGCCGGCGGGGGGCCGCGGGGAGGAGCTCGGCTGTTTACTCGCCTGAGAAGAGCACGGGGGTGCGTACCGCGGGCTTCTGGAGGTCTGCCTCAGTTTACCTCCTGCAGATGCGCTTAAAAAAAAAAAAGCAGCGAAACATAAAACAGTGGTGGGCGGGGACCCGGGGTATTGGCCACGGGGTGTCTGTCCTCCTGGAGCCATAGAGGGACCAGACACATAAGAAACAGCCCAAAGCGGCCCCAAGCCAACCACACACACACATACACACACACACGCGCGGACTCAGACACGACAGCCAAACAGCGGAGGCTGAATCCCGTGCACAACTCCGCAAGCACAACACACACCCGGGGCGTGGGAACGCAGGCAGAGCCCCAGGCCACGGGAAAGGACCGCTAACAGGCAGCACATGTGCGCGCGCGCGCACACACATACACACACACACACACACACACACGCGCGCGCGCGCGCGCGCACACACAGAAATCCAGAGGAACAGGCAGACCGCGGCAGCCAACCACGTGCGCGCACACACTTCCGAGACACCGAAAACATAAACAACCCTCGGAAGGGCCACACTGCCTGCCCATCCCGCTCCGTCACCGTCCTCCGACCCGCCGACATGAGGTCCCCCGCGCAGCGCCGCCGCCCGCCCGCCGCGGGGACCGCGTCTGTGGCACCGGCGCCCCTTCCCGCTCGTTCGGGCCCCCGGCCAGGGGTAGCGGCGAGGACACGCCGGCGCCGGGCTCCGCCCCGCCAAGATGGACGGACGGACTGACGCACCGGCTCCGGCTCGGCCGTCCTCGTCCTCCCAATCGGATTAACCGTTTAACTCCTTCCTGCCGGGGCGCGCCGCTGCGAGGCCGGGCGCTCCGGAGAGAACCGCGCTCCCGCGCCCCCTCCCAGCCCGGAGCGGGGCTCCGCGTGGGCGGGAAGGGCCCCCTTCCTCGGGTGACCGCCCCCCACTGGTCGGGACCGAGGAGGAGGGGGGCGGCGCTGACAACCACGGCGGGCGGGGAGCGGGGAGGGGCGGGACGGGGCGGGGAACCGGAGCTGGCGCCGAACCGGGCGCCCAGCGCGGAGAGCGCTGCCGGGCACGGAACGGAGCGCCGAGCACAGGCTGGCAGCTTTGGCGCCCGGCCCGGGGGCATCGGCCCTTCGCGCCCCCGGGTCTATCCCCGGGGCGCCATGGCCCAGCCGAGGCCGGGCGCACCCTCGGGGCCCTGGGGGCTCCGGCGCTCACGCGGCTGAGTAGGGTGCAGCGTGGAGAAGAGGCCGGGGCTCCCCGGAGTGCAGGTGGGGGGCTGGCGACATGGAGCCCCCGGCCGCCTCCTCGGAGAGGAGCCTGTCTCTGTCTCTGCCCGGGCCCCGGGAGGGTCAGGCCACCCTGAAGCCGCCTCCCCAGCACCTGTGGCGGCAGCCGCGAACCCCGATCCGTATCCAGCAGCGCGGCTACTCGGACAGCGCCGAGCGCGCGGAGCCGGAGCGGCCGCCACACCGACCCATGGAGCGCGCCGACGCCGTGGACACCGGCGACCGGCCCGGCTTGCGCACGTCCCGCATGTCCTGGCCCTCGTCCTTCCACGGCACGGGCGGCGGCGGCGCGGGCGGAGGCGGCTGCCGGCGGTAAGACTCTCCGCGATGGACGCGCGCGGAGCGGATAGGCGCGCGGGAACGGTGCAACGCGCCCCGCTGGCCGCAGGGGGCGCTGTGGTGCGGCCGGGGGTCAGTGTGACTGGCGGGGGTAGGGATAGGAGAGTTCTGCTGCGGGAGTAGCTGGGATCTGGCCCCTGGTGGTGCCCTCTATCCATCCGAGGGTTACTGAAGCCCATCCTCGGGTTGACTCAGGGGGGCCATGCTGCGTGGGGTGATAATCACAGGATCTGGGTTGAGGGCTGGGGGTCTGTGCAGGATCCCTAACTGGTGGCGGTGCAGGACAGTGGTTAGGCTGGGCACCACTTCAAGGGACTTTCCTGGAAGCACTGTACTGAAAGCTAGATTAACTGTGTTTGGGGATGTCCTAAGGGCTCTCTTTGGTGGGGAGGTGGGGGGGGGGGGGAGAGGCACCTGCTAGGACCAATGTTTCTTCCAGGCCGAGGGGCTCTCAGGGTTCTTGGAGCGGGTGGAGGACAATGTGGAATGGGGGTGTTTGTGGACTCACTCTGCAGCAGATGGAGGAAGAAACCCAGAGAGGGCCTCTTTGGGGAGCACCGTGTTGGGGGCTGTGTGCTAGAGGGAGCCCCATTCTCAGGGCGGGAGAGAGTCAGGTTCAGCGGCTGTGCAGAGGAGGGAGATGGGCGTAGGGGGTGCTCAGTCTCAGCACAGGGTGAAGGAACCCTTGCCTCCCCCGGTGACAGTGTGGTGAGGGGGGGGTGCTGGGCTGTCTCCGCTGTATCCTCTCCCTGGCCTGACGTTGCTCCGGCTGTTGGGCTGTGCCCAGCTGTGGCTGCCTGGGCTGGGTAGGGCTTCTGAGGTCCTGTGATTGTAACATGGGGCTGCATGACCTCCCAGGACAGTGACTTTGCGACTGTGTGCTTCTGGGGCAGTGATTGTGCTGCCGGAACAGCGTGACCGTGTGGCTGTCTGTGCTCCCAGGGTGTGGCGGTGATTGTGTCACTGACCGTGCTGTTGGGATGCTGTGAGTGTGCCTGCTCCCCTCGCAGTGGCCATGACGGTGAGTGTGTGTGCTCCTGGGACAGGGATTGTGGCTGTGCATGTTCCTGGGATGCAGTGACGGTGGCAATGTGCACACTCGCAGGACGATGTGATTGTGTCAGCAGGACTGTCTGTTCTCCCTGAGACACCGAGATTGAGATGTCGCGACCTGCCCCCTGCTGCCCGTGTGCCCTGTGTGGGAGTCAGTGCTCTGCCTCTCCGTGTGCTCCTGAATGCCCGGTGTGCTGTCCTCTCACCGGCTGGTGTTCTGGTGGCGCTTGAGGTTTGACGGTGCGTGCTCTGGTGACATGTGTGACTGACAGGTAGGACCGTGGTTTGCTTGCCTCCCCCCCTCCCTCCATGAGTACCTCTTTGTTTGGAACATCGCTAAGACATTTTAGCCTCTCGCTCCAGGAATTCCCGAGAGAGGTCCTTGTAGGCTCTTGCCCTACTGTTCTAGCTCTGGGGACTTCTAGCAGGCACCGCAGCCACCAGGGCCTCCTCCGCCCACCTCCGTTTGGGACACATCCAGCCATAGAACCTTTTCCCAGGAAGCGATCGTCACAGGCTCCTCACACACAGCCTGCTGCTTCCCAAAGGGAATTGGAGAGGAGCTGGAGGAAAACAAAACTGGAATCAACAGGAAATGCCAGGACCAAAGGCAGCACGCCAGCGGTCACTGTCCTGAGAGATCAGGGAGGGGGTGGGGTGCAGAAGGAGGAACTGGACCCTAACCCCTTTTAAGTCCTCCCAGCCCCCGCTAGGACTCCGCTAGCCTGGTCACTGGGGTATTGACTCTCGGGGCACGGGGGACCGTGGCTAAGTGCTAATCATCATCATCTTAGTGGCATCTGTCTCAGGCGGGCTCCATGGGAGGGAATTTTTCACAAGTCCTCATCCCCGGTACCTTTTGAAGCATTCCTGTTTGACAGATGGGGAAACTGAGGCGTAGAGTGGCAAAGACCCTGCTTTTTGCCCAAGCTCACCCAACCAGGAAATGGTAAAGCTGAGATGCCAATACAGGGCCTGTCTGACGGCCTTGCCCTCTCTGCGCCTCCATTTCCCCGTTTGTAAAGTGGGACTGTTGTCATCACTGCCCTACGGGGGTCGCTTTGGGAGTGCTGTGAGATCGGAGATGCGTGTAAAGGACTTAAGGTAGCGACCCAATAGCTAGTTACTCAGGGACCTGGATTCTGGAGCGGGGGGGGGGGGAGGGGGGGGAAGGGGGGTGTGAGGCCTGCATAGAACCTGTTTCTCCAGGCTGGGAAGAAAAAACAGGAACCCCAACCACATCCCTCAGAGCCTGGGGTTTCTGTTTCACTGTGGCCTGTGCAGCCTCCAGGCGCTGTGGCAGGAGGGAGGGCACTGGTGCCAGGCAGAGGGAGAAGGGGGAACTGAGAGGCTTCCAATGGGAACCTCGCTCTTTCAGAAAGGGCCTTCTGCCAGTCCAGTCCTCCAGACAGGGGATTTACCAGTGCACACACGGGGTTCCACCTCTTCCCACCTTTTTGGAGTTCATGCAGCCACAAAAAGGAGGTCCAAAGAGCCTTCCAGACTTCAGTCGTAGGAACCCCCAGAGAGAGGGCCCTGCCCCCATCGGAGATGGCATCCACACCCCACAGACCCCTCCGGACCTGGGGATGTAGGAGACTGTGCTCCTGGCGCCCTGCGGGGCTGAGTCACGGCACCGCCACGATCTGTCAAGAGGCGGATGGAGCTGGAGGAAGAGGACTCTGGTGGTTGGGGGCGGGGGGGGGGGGTGGCGGGGAGAGGGTAGCTTGCCTTCATTGAGAGTGGAGCCAACGGTATCGACTGCCCCATTTTGGGACATTCCCCTCCGAGGGGGTGGCTCCCTGGCCCCAGGAGGGGGTGAAGGCAGCCCGACCGGGGTCTCTCTCTGGCGGGTGGTCTCTGTACCCATCGGGGTCCCCGCCTCCCCTTGCTTCTGGCGCTCCCAGGTCCCTGGATGTGCGCTGGGCGCTCATGTCTCCGCGCGCCCCCTGCTGGACGACGGAAGAGGCACAGGCATTGCTAAGAGTCCGGACCTGCCTCTCGGGTTTGTCCCTGAAGGAACAAAGTCGCCACTGCCGCGGCGCCCCCGTATTATTATTTCATGATTATTGAGTTCCTCGGAATGCGGGCGCCAAGCCGGCCGACCGCAGGCTACCCATGAGGTCTGCTCCTTCCCGGGGTGTGTTGGGACCGGGCCGCCATCCCCATCCTCTACCCAGCTCGCTGGACAGCGCCGCCTGGCGGGGAGAGAGAGGAACTTGGCGGAAAAGTTGAGAACGCGGAGCTCGCCTGCTGGTCCATATCCACGTCACCAATTTGGGTTTTAACTCCCAGCAGCATCTTTGCCTTTCCATTCCAAACAGAGACGAAGTGGCTCGTCCTAGGCCACACAGCCAGGAGGAGTGCGATTGGGGTTAAAAACCAGGTCTCCTGGGCTCCAGACCAGTGGGTGAGATTCAGATTGTTTCCCTGCCCTTTTGCTCTGTGTGACCAGGGGCTAGAGATCAGGCCTCTCTGAGCCTCCGTTTTCTCATCAGCAAACCGGCCGAGTTAGAACTGCTTTGTTAAGGCTGAGATGGCTGACCACAGGTCTGGGCCATCCAGAGCTGGTGTTTTGAGAACTGCACTTCCTTAAAATGACTTCAGCAAAGAGAAAGGGGGCATCCCCCACACCACAAGCCCAGGCCCTGTCACAGGGTGACTGCAAGCCCCTCTGAGTTGCAGAAACCAGGGCTTTGGGTCTACAGGAGCCACAGACTGGCGGGGTGAGGACAGAGTTTGGGGAGCATCTGGACCCATTGTTTTCATTCTTGAGTAAACGTTCCAATCCAACCTTTGCCCTTGACTTGTTGTGTGACCTTGGGAAAGGACTCAACCATCGGAGCCTCCGTTTCCTCATCTGTCACGGGGCTATTATTATTATTTTTTTATTGATTTTTCACAGAGAGGATGGGAGAGGGATAGAGAGCTAGAAACATCGATGAGAGAGAAACATCGGCCATTTGCCTCTTGCATACTCCCTACTGGGGATATGCCCGCAACCAATGTACATGCCCTTGACCGGAATCGAACCTGGGACCTTTCAGTCCACAGACCGACACTCTATCCACTGAGCCAAACCGGTTTTGGCTCATGGGGCTATTATTGATTGAGGATCTTCAGGCTGTGACGTAAGATGTAAGAGATAGGTGCAGTCTGTGGCTGCAGTTCTCAGACTAGTGGGTGAGGAAGACACAGCAAACAAAGGGATAATGATCATTCCAGATGGTGACACAGGGGACATGAAGAAAAGAGGGGCCCTGGGGACAGGGAAGGCCTTTCTGAGAAGGTGACATTTGAGCAGAGACCTAAATGAAGTGAGAGGGGGGTGGCGTGTGGGTGTCTGAAGGGTGAGGGTGATAAGCAGAGGGAACAGCCAGTACAGAGTTCCTGAGGCAGGAATGTGTCTGATATGTTGGAAGCAAAACAGGGGTGACAGGCAAGTGAGGCAGTGGTGAGTGAAGGGACATGGGGCAGAAAGGTGATGGGCCTTGTGAGCCCGGTCAAGGTTGGCTGTTTACATCTGACTTCCTAGGAAGGGACAAAGCTCCCCGGGCTGGAAGGGAAGTGAACTGTGAAGGACCTAGTAGCTAAAATTCCAGTTCCTAGAGCCAGACAACTGAATTTACAACCCAGATCTGTTCCTTCCGAGCTGGGTGACCCTGGCCAAGTCACTTCCCCTCTCTGGGCCTTGGTTTTCCCATCTCTAAAATGGGCCTGTAAGGAATCTATCCCATAAGTCTGATGTGCGGGTTCAGCAAAAACAATTCAGGGGAGTCTAAGGACAGGTCAACGTGAATGTCTTTCCTAGTTTTGTTTGTACTTGGACCAAGAGCGAGAAGCAATCTGTCCCCCCAGAGGGCCTGTGGCAATGGCTGGAGACATTTTATTTATTTGACGGGGTGCTTTTGTCATCTAGTAGGTAGAGACCAGGGATTCTGCTTCTACTACCGTACAAGCACACAGGACTGTCCCTCCTCCCCCAGGACAAAAGATTAACTGGCACCAAATGTCAATAGGGCTCAGGTTGGGAAACTATGCATTCCCAGTTAGAAACATCGATGAGAGAGAGCACCTCCTACTGGGGATGTGCCCGCAGCCAAGGTACATGCCCTTGACTGGAATAGAACCTGGGACCCTTCAGACCACAGGCCGATGCTCTAACCACTGAACCAAACCAGCTAGGGCCATATATGTTTTGTCAAGTAATAATAATAATTGTAACTAACATTTAGTGAGTATTTACTATGCCTAGAACCTTTTACTTGTCCACCCATGAGATGTGTAGTATTATTCCCATTTTACATCTGGGAAAACTGAGGCTTAGTGAAATGAAGTGACTGTCCCAAGGTCAAATGACTAAGTGCCAGGGGCCAGACTTCAGCCTGGGCCATCCGACTCTAGGCCCCATGACAGTGGGATCAACAGGTAGAAAGGCATTTGCAGAGATGGTAGCCTAAGATAGAGATTTGCACACTTTTTTTTTTTTTTTTTTTTTTTAAATTTAAAACAAGCGTTTCCAACCCCTAAAAGCCACAAACACATTGGAGTAAGCGCCGGGATTGTAACCAGTTGCCTGACCAAGGGTGTTGCTTCTCTGACCCTCAGTTCCCTCATCTGTGTAAGAGGGTACGGAGCCCCCCAGGTTACCATGCAGAGCCACCCGGGGTGGTGGTGGGAGAAAGTCCCTCTGCCTGTGTACTACTGGGCCTGCACGGGAGTCAGCACTGAGAGGAGGCTGGGTTCTTGGGGCCACCTAATGAGCTGTGGGGGCCCCAATCCTAAGGGGTGCCTTAGAAATTCTAAGGAGTGTTTTGGGACTGTGAGCACACTCCGATCGCCTAGGGATGCCATGAATGAAGGGAGGTATTCTGGTGGGTTACCCAGGGTTGTGGTGCTGCTTGATTCTGGGAGTATAGCCAGGGTTGTAGAACTGTCTCAGGAGTTGTGGGGGAATCTAGCTGTACCTCTGGGTTTTGGGGGCACCCCAGGATTTTTGTGGCACCCATGTTATAGGAGCACCACCCCCTGAATCTAAAGGTGACTCCTGAGATTATGGGGGGGGGGGGGATCTCTGCATTTGGAGCCACTCGGGCAGGGGACCTCTGGGAGACTGTGGAGGCATCCCTGGGGCCCGCATGCCCTTGTCTGTGGGGATGGCTAGTGACTAGGGGACTCAGTGGTATTCTGGGGGTCTCTGCATGATTCAAAGATGGCGGGAGTGTTTAGGGGGTGCGGGGGGCATCAGGGGACTGCAGCAGTGGTCCTGGGATCTAGGTGAAGGGGTTTCTCGTGTTCTCAAAGCACCACTGTCATTTTTAGGTGCATCCTGGGATTCGTGGGGTGCCCCTGAGGTTTGTGAGGATGTCTCATTAACAATGAGGACACTCCTAAGGGGCATCTGGGTGGCTTTGGAAGTTCCTCTGGGGTCTGTGGGGGCCCTCTCGGAACCCAGGGATTGGGAGGTATTTTTGGGTTGTGTGGGGGCATCTCAGGGATATTGGGGGCACTCTCTGGAATTGTGGAGGTGGCTGAGGAACGCTGGGGACGCCCCTGAAGCCTGTGGGGTCTCTCAATGCCACAGGAGATTGTGAGAGCACCCCAGAGACGTCGGGGGCGTGCCAGGTGTCTGTAGAGATGCTTCGAGACGGTGAGGACAACTGAGAGCCCGCGGGGGCGGGCGGGGGCCCTGAGGTCTGTGGGGTGTCCCCGCGGCAGCCCTGCGGGCGGCCCAGGCCCGCCCCGCCCCGGGGGCGGCCCCAGCGGGAAGCCGGAAGGGCCAAGGCGGCCGGGCGGGGTGGGCCCCGGGGCTGGGCGGCCGGCCTGCGTGGGCCACCCGGCGGGACGGGCGGCGCCGCTCCCCAGCGCCCACCGAGGCCCGGCCGCCGGCGTCCCCGCGGCCATGGCCCGGCCGCGCCGCCTGGGCTGCATCCCGGAGCTGCGGCTGGCGGCCTTCCCGGCGGCGGCGGCCGAGGACGAGGCGTTCCTGCCGGAGCCCCGGGCCCGGCGCGCGCCCCGCTGGCCGCGCTCGCCGCCCTCCTCGCCCGTCTTCTTCGCCGGCGCGTCCCCCACGTCCCGCCGGCGCCTCCGGCTGCTCCGCGGCTCCCAGGACGGCGGCCGCCCGGCGGGGGCCGGGTAAGTGCGCCCGGGCGGGCTCGCGTCCCCGCGTCGGTGTCTGAGTTCGCGGCTGCCTCTGCCCAGCCTCACTCTTCCTCTTCCGTCGTCAGAGGCGGCGATAGAAATCGGCTGATCGGAGACGGCTGATCGGGCGTGCAGTAGGCGCTCAATAAACGCTACCGTCCTTCCCAGTTCCTGTGCAGACCTGAGCCTGCGGCGGCCAGGCTTTGGGGGGACCGACATGCCGCCCCGGGTGATCCGGGGACGCTCGGTCCGCTCCGTGGCCTCAGTCTACCGGCCTGTGCAATGGGCCGGCGACGCCCGCGCGGCCGCGCTGCCGGCAGGCCCGCTGGCCAGCGCGCGCACCGGGCGCGGAGGGCGAACTGAATTCCCGCCCAGGCTGGACCCCGCGGGGTGGGCTGTAGGGGCGGGCACACTGGCGGGCCCATCCCGTCCGGCTTCCCCGGTGCCCCTGTATCCTGGCAGCCCGAAAGTGGGCACCGGCCGGAGCTGGGCTATCCTCACTCGCCTCAAGCGCTTGTTGAGAACCAGAGTCCGGGGACACGGACCGGGAGAGGGCATGGCAGGGGCCGGAGCGGACCCAGCGGGGGAGATGGGGGCAGGGCGGGAAGGGGAGGAGGAGGGGGGACGGGGCCTTTGGGGGCCCCTTGTGGGATGGGGCGGGAATAGGGGCAGGGGATCAGTTCCTCTCTGGTTTCTCTCAGTGTCTCTGTCTCCCCTTCTCTCTCTCTCTCTCTCTCTTAAAAAATATATTTTATTGATGTTTTACAGAGAGGAGGAGAGAGGGATAGAGAGTTAGAAACATTGATGAGAGAGAAACACCGATCAGCTGCCTCCTGCGCCCCCCCACCCCCACCCCTGCACTGGGGATGTGCCCGCAACCAAGTTACATGCCCTTGACCGGAATCGAACCTGGGACCTTTCAGTCTCCAGGCCGACGCTCTATCCACTGAGCTAAACCGGTTTGGGATCTCTGTCTCTCTGTCTCTGTCTGACCCCCCCCCCCCCCAGCTCCAGCTCCCCGGCCTCCGCCGTCCCTCCCCCCGCCGGACCCCGCGCTCCGCCGGCGGGAGGGCGTCTTGTCCCTCCGGGAGCGCCGGGCGCCCGGAGGGAGCCTTCTAGAGGCGCAGCTCGACGTCAGGATGGGGAGGGGGTGAGGGCGGGCCGGAGGCCGGGGCGGGGTGGGGGGCGGTGGGCCCGGAGCCTGGTAAACCCGAGCTCCGGGCAACCCGCCCCCTCCCGCCCAGGCCCGGGGGCGGGGGGAGGAGGCCGCGGGAAGGGTGCGCAGAGTCGCGCCGGGCTCACCGGAGGAGGCAGGCGCCGAGCCCAGCCCCGGGCGCTGCGGACGGAGGACACCCGGACGCCCATGGCCTGGGAGGGCACCCGGAGGGCGGGTGTGAAGGCGGTGCCAGCGGCCCCGGGCCCCGCGGGCCTGGAGAGCAGCATTCGCTGCCCCGCGGCGCGCGCCGCCGGCCCCATGCGCGCCCGGAGCCGGAGGGCGCTGGGCTCCCCGGCGCTGCACGGCAGCCCGCCGCCCGGCAGGCCCCGGCGCCCTGCCCTGGCGCTGCCCTTGGTGAGCCCCGAGTCCCCGCTCCACTTCTCCTTCAGTGACGAGGACACCTGCTGGCGCTCTCCAGGCAGATCCCTCAGGTGGGTGGCCCGAGGCCGTGCCCTCCTGTCCCACCGGAGGGCTCTGGATGCGAAGGTGGGGTGCCTAGTCTGCCTGGGGGAGTCTCCAGAGTGGTTTTCAGCGTCTGTCTGGAGCTCCCCCTCTTCCTTCCCCCGTTTCTAAACGTCTGGGTGCTTCTGAGGGCTTCCTGCAAGCGGTGGCTCTGAAAATAGGTGCTGGGTCCTGCCCCCTTTCTGCCCACTCCGGATGGGATCCCTTCACCCTCTTTGTCCCCCTAACCCTGGACTTTTGGCACTCGCCCTGGCAGCAAGTAAAAGTGTCCAGCGTCACCTGGGCTCCACTCCCAGGCCGCGGGCCTCCAGCCAGGTCCCTCAGGCCTTACCCTTCCTCCCTCCTTGCTGGGGCCGCCAGGCTGAAAGCCAGACTGGGGTGGGTGTGGGCGGGGCTTCCTGCTGGAACTCAGGGAGGGGAGTGAGAATCCACCGGGCAGGGGCAGAGGAGCAGCTTTTAAATCCTCAGAATTCTTGGGGTACTCCAGCAAGGTTCTTGCTTCCCTCCAGCTACCCCTTCAGATAGCTGGACACACTCATGCTCCCCAACAAGGACACATACACTCCACACACACAGCCATACATGACATAAACAGCATGCCCACACACAGGGCAGTCGGGTTGACCCACGGCCACGGTGACACGCAGACCACAGAAACCCTGGCCTGTGGAGCCAAGTATAAGACCACACTGCTTGCAGGAACACACTCGCACTGCAACACATACCCAGGCCCGCTTCCCACCTGCCCGTGGCCATACACAGGAGCACACCGCATACCCCTCAGGAGGCAGGGACAGTCTCGGCACAAGTGCACCCTCCCAAACCCCCAGGATTCGGAGACACACAGACCCACACAGGCGCCGTCAACACCCAGACCCCACTCACACACATAGACGTGTAAATCCACATGGACAGCCCACATGCACACGGATGCCCCTGACACCCTCTCTGACTCACACACGCACAGACCCTCCTCCTACATTTAACCCCACTAGCTGCTGTGTCACTAGCACCACGCGCCTGCCTGGCAGATTCACACCGGCACCCGCCCTTAACCTCCACGTGACCTTCACAAAGCAAATGCCAGGCCTTTCCATAAAGGCTGCCTGGCACCTCCTGCGACGGAGTCCGCTGGAGTGGGGCAGAGCCTGGGGAGCTGCCAGGCTGCCTGGAGGAGGGGCGGGGGGAGACAGACACCGAGTGATTTAGCTGCTTTGTAGCTTTGAGCCTGGCTCCCCGGGTTCGCATCCTTGCTCTGTCACTAGCCACATTATTCATCCTCTCTGTGTCTCAGCTTCTCTCTCTCTCTCTCCAGAAAATGGGGATGAGCCGAAGCCGGTTTGGCTCAGTGGTAGAGCGTTGGTCTGCGGACTGAAGGGTCCCAGGTTCAATTCCGGTCAAGGGCATGTTTGGTTGTGGGGGCATCCCTGGTAGGGAGTGTGCAAAAGGCAGCTGGTCAATGTTTCTCTCTCATCGACATTTCTAGCTCTCTATCTCTCTCCCTTCCTCTCTGTAAAAAATCAATAAAATATATTTTTTAAAAAAAGAAAGAAAGAAAATGGGGATGAGTGTGTGTCCAGGCAAAGCGCCATGCTGGAGCATATGGCATTCCAGAGCAGCTGGCTACTTTCATTGTTGTTATGATTTTTACCAACTGGGATATCTCTCCCCTCATTGCCACATCCGTCCCCTCACCCCAGCGTGTTAGTTTCCCAGTGGCTCCTGCAGCAGAACTTTCTGAAGCTTGGATCTGCCCCCCCCCCCCCGGGCCGGCACAGCCCTCCAGAGGCCCAATTTGATGTTCAAAAGCCCCGGGGGACGGGACTAGAAGCCCCGAGGGGTGGAAGCAGGTAGCGACTTCACCGGAGAATGCCGCCAAGCGGTCAGACGCCTGTCCCAGGCGGAGCCTTGAGCAGCTCATTTCCCTTCTGATGGAGCGCCTGGGCATGTGGCTGTGATGTCAGGGCCTGTTGGCTGTCCTTGACAAGAGTGTGGCTTTGGGTCCCATTGGGACATTCCCAGTGCAGCCTCTAGCCTGATTCTTGGGTCACCCTGACTCCCCACAGCCTGGGGGTCCAATGCTGGGGAGTGGCTGAGACCCCCTCATTCTCAGGCTGCAGTGGAACAGGCCTAATGTTCTCCTACATGCCCTTCTGCCGCCTCGGGGACATCGCTCCTGGAAGCACAAACAGTGGGGCCTCCCCGGGAGCATCTTCCCATCCTGCCTCTGGGCTCCTGCTTGCAGTGAGCTGAGTCCCCTGGGGCCGCGGTATCTACTGGAGATGCTGGTCGGTTGCCCTCTGGGGCTTGGGTCTCACCTTCCCTAAAGAGCACTCAGTTCCTGGGGCAGCGGAGGGGTCCTCCGCATAGATATGCTCCGCCCCCTTTCTCAGTGGCGCTCAGCAGAGTCAGAAAATCCAGGCTGGGCCCTGGGAGACAGGACATGATTCTCAGGTAATGAGGCTACCTCCCCTCTGTGCCATCTTTTCATCGAACCAGGATGTAAACAGACTCCAAATCACGGAGTTGGTAGGCGACATACGGGGTACATGTCTATAAGGCACTCGATGCCACAGCAAGCACTCAGGGTCTTGTTATTTTTACTCTACACCTAAGAGGATTTAACCTGGGACCCAGCACACAGCAGGCACTCAATAAGTGGGCATTATCACCAGAGGCTCCAGCTCATGATTAGGTAATTCCATCTTAAGAAAGAATGTGTGTGTGTGTGTGTGTGTGTGTTTTAAAGATGAACATATACTAAATTAACCCTTTTTATACACATCTGCATTATGTTGTTTTGCAAATTGTTTTTTTTATTTATTTATTTACTGGAGGCCCAGTGCACAAATTAGTGCACCGGTGAGGTCCCTCGGCCTGGCCTATGGGGGGAGGGGCTGGCAGGCAGAGGGGGGAGGGGAGAAGAGACTGTAGGAGGTTGGCTGTGGGAGCACACTGACCACCAGGGGGCAGCTCCTGCATGGAGTGTCTGCCCCTTGTTGGTCAGTAAGCATCATAGCACTGGTCAACCGGTTGTTCGGTTGTTTGGTGGTAACAGTTGCTTAGGCTTTTATATATTAGATTTATATGAAAATTTTTTAATGTTGGCATTATCGCGGGTGTCCCCCTTTTTCTCCTCTTTGCCCACCTCCATCACCCCCCTTAGCCTTCACCAACCTATTGTCCATGTCTGTGGGATATGTATATACGTTCTTTAGCTAATCCCTTCACCTTCTTTATCCAGTCACCCCACACTCCTTCCCGCGGGAACCAGCCAGTCTGCCCCAGGTATTGATGCTTCTGGTTCTGTTTTGTT